TATATATATATATATATATATATATATATATATATATATAATCTGTGAAACATATAATAGCTGATCATGACTTTGCTGCGTATCAGAGTAGTTACCAAGCAGAGAGTTGCAGATCATATGGTACAGAATGAGAAATGCGGCCAATAGAGGTGAAAGAAGGGCTAGAGTTGTTACTATCTGTCAGAAGATAACATTTAACAACTGCTAGAGTTTAGATCTCAAGCTGTTTCAAAACCATTTTCGTCTACCCTCTCGGTCCAAGATCAAAGACCCTGGGAGGTTACTGTCACAGCTGGTGTGTGACCCTGATGCCTTGCCAGCAGCCATTTTAATATTTAAGTTTGGTTTGTTTTTTCTTTAGGTTGCTTTCTTTTGCTCTCAGTTTCTTTTACTCACTTTAACTAAGGGTGGGATAAAACTGCTAAGGTCCATCCCTCAAGATTTGGACGAGATAGGTTTATTTGATTTAGTACTTTAGAGATGAACTAAATATGATTTATTTTAATCATACATGCATTTTTTAATCAGTATATATCTGGTTAGGGAGACATGTAAATGATTCATGAATTCCACCTACATTTATTAGGACTAAGGGCCAGCAGAGATAAGCTTCCAGGGGTGAGAGAGGCATGTTCTTTTTTTCTTTCCAATCTTGGTGAAAAGGAAATTATTCTTAGACCTTTATCAGTATGATTCACAATACAAACAAGGAGCCAATGAATTTCATATTTTGAAATGCCACAGTGCTGGTTCGAGATGAGTGTGTATGTTTCTTTTTAATATTTAATATGGATTATAAATAACAGGTGATAAAAAGCTAGATAACCAACATAGCAACCCAGTGATTATCATGGTGTTTACTGAGGCTTGCAAAAGCATTTTAAAACTGTCATTTTTTTCATAAGCCTTGATGCTGCTTCCACATGCTTCAATATGTTTGATTAGAATCTTATGTGATAGACTGATACTAAGTTGTTTATAATTATGGCTAATTCTCTTAAGTCAGTTGTGTGCTGAAACTCTGCTGCTTGAATTACTACTACAAGTTATAATGGGGTATTTCTTTATTTTTCTCAACCAGAGATATACAGTATGTATGCCTTTTTCTTTCCAAAACAGGTCATTATGAATCAGATTGCATTGAGAATAGCCAAAAACATACATTTTATAACTTGCCACAAATTCCAATTTTATCGAGTTTAGATTTAAAGAGACATTATGTAAATTTTTACTTAAAATATCTTTAAAATTGCATTTTTATCAGACCCTTTATGGCTAAAATATTGTTTTATGAGTAGAGTGACACCTCAGTAGTTCAGCGCTGATGCATTTATAACTCAGAACTTTAGGTTGGAAGTTCTTGCACTGTTTGTTAAGCGTCCATGTTAATGGGTATGCATAGCAAACATTGAAAGCATTATATTCAAGATGTATTTTGTGGATACTCAAAAAGCGACCTGCATCCAACTCAACTCAGACCCCAACAAAAACTCCACCTAAGGTGAAAAAAGCCTGGTTAAGTATAAGGACAAGCTACAAGAACATGAAGAGTGTTGCAGTTCAGGTGGCAGTATCTTTAGAAAACTCAATAAACCCTTTTTGAATGTGCTTTGATCTAAACCAGAATTTTAAAACTCCAGTCCTCAAGTCCTATGTACTGCACCCTCTACATGTATCTGTGTTTTAATACTCCTGAGTCCAATAATCAGAGCAAATATTTGCAAAGATCCTCAGAGAGCTCCTACATTGCCCTAATTTTTCCTCCCAAGAAGTGCTAATGATTCAGATATTTGTTGAGAGTCACTTAAAACAAGACAGTAGCAGATCTTTTTGTCATAGTTGCGAGTGGTTGATCACATTACTAGGTGTGTGATTTTCCAATACCGTTTTGGTACTAATTTTGACTCCATTAACTGTATACCTTACGAATTGAGCAAAGACAAAATATTTGATGAAACATAGTTAAAAATGATAAAAAAAATTAAGAGGGACATAAATCACTAGCTGCAACGTTTGCTCTGCACACATAAAATTAAAAGCAGTTAATCATGGTAAATCTAATGCTGTGTATACTGGATCAGCATCATGCATCCGATATCAGATCCTGCTAAGTAGTCAATGTTGGAGCCGATATACAGTAGGATCAGAGTATTCTATAAGTGCATATTGTCAACATAGCTTAAGATTTGCGACTTATGAACACAATAAATAAACAAACTGAACCCCACCCAATTCTGTCCTTGTAAAATCAATGGAGAAAGCTTAACTAATTGTGGAATTCAGACGTGTGTTAAGAAATGTGTCTCATTATAGTTAAATTCAGCCAAACCAGATTGTCACACCACATCGACATGTTTTAACATAGCTTATTTATGTCCTCAATATTATTTGACTTGCTTATGATTATGTTTACCCACCACACTGTTCATTTTACAACTTAATCTATTTGATATTAATGTGAACTATACCAGCAGCCCTTTACTGTGAGTGGCTACTTGTTTAAGGGAGTTGAAAATGTAAAAAATAAAAAAAAAACACAAGAAAAAATGTAACAAAAAAAACATAAAATAAAAACTAAATCGGGAAAACCAAACTGGATAAAGGGAAAGCACATATCTGCACAGCTCTGGGATGTGAATAGAGAAGTGTTGAAAGATAAACTGATTTGCGTCTTCGAAGACCCAGACTTTAAGGGGTATTTTTAAGCAGAAGAATCAGAATCAGAATCAGAAATACTTTAAGCATGTTTTTCTGAAGCATGTTTTTCTGCCTTTATGCACCAGCCTGGAAAGTGAGAAGCCCTACTTGCCA